AGAGGATAAAGCACTATTGCTTTTCTAAAAGTGTGACTGCAACGCAGCCACGCACATTAAAAAAAGGCAGGTGTTTAAGAACCTGACTGAGCTGTTATCTGTCTGTGTTATCTGTCACCCTCAACATTGATTCCTGAACTGCTATGACTCTGGTTTTGTTTGTTTCAAATTTTCTCTTGGTTTCCTCCATTTTTCACCATATCCTCTCAGTGAAAAACAGATAATTAAAATGAAAATTAGTTTATATAGTTTTATATCTACAATATTGTGTATATGACTGAAAAAAAAAGATAAGTGTTTGCCTTTCTAATTTCCTTTAAAAGATGCTAATGGGAATTGTTGAAGACCTCAGCCAATTATATACATAATGTATTGTTTGAAGGAAGCTTCTTCATGCAAGGTAATATTCAAATTTTTAGCAGTTATTTAAGATTTTGATAGGAAAAGGAACAAAAGTGACAGGAAACCAGGTGGCAGCGGATATCTCCTTTAAAAAATATGCCAAAAATGTCATTGTGACCTTAGGAAAAACACTGACATAAATGGAAACAAAAATGCCTAAACATAAAAAACAACTATTCAAGGGGAAAAAATTCTTTGCTATGTAATGTTCTTGTGCTCAGTGTACAAAGCTATAGCTCAGGAATATTTGTTCTGTAATTGTTACCTTTTTGGCAGGTTATAATTTTCTTCTGAAGCTGAAGGCACAAATCGTTGAGATGGTCAGCTTGCCAGTATTTAAGAAACACTTTTCGAACTCCTATCTAGAATACAAACAACATGGGTAAACCTTCACCATCAAGAAAAAAGGCCAAAATGATGACAGGTAAATAATGACAGTACATATAAAATCCAGCTAAGGATTGAGACAAGATTTGCAATTTAAGGATAGTACAATGCCAATACTTGTTCAGAGAGGTAGTATCACTCGGTTTAATAAAAGATAAATCTGGAAAGACAAACAAGCTCTCAGGCACACAGTTTCCCACTCAGGTCCAAATCCAAAACAGATACCACAGAATTCAACTAAATGCAGGTTGGAAAAAAAGTATCCTGAATGTAATGTACCTATGCTAATGTGCTAGTCAATGTAATAGAAAATAAGGTTTGCCATTTATATAACAGGGGGATGGAGGCAAGGAGAACAGTGATAAGACATAAGCCTATATAGAGCAGAAAAAGAATAACAGACAGCTGCCATCTGTGGAACAGGAAGAATTTAGCCGAAGTTGGAGGACAGGAGAAAACGTGCCATGAGTGAGAACGTAAAAAGAGTCCAGTAAAATTATGAATCCTAATCCCAAACTTGCCTATTAAAACTATTCTGCAGCTCTCCCCTTAGGATCAAGCCTGAAAGGTCAGAGATAGTGACCTATTTGTGAAAAATATACTCCTAGGTATTGACTGAGTGTATAATCTTATTCTGGTGCTGAGGAGTTGCATGGTTTAACTCACCTATTTCTTTGAGGGTCTTAATAAACACAGCAGCTAATATTCTTCCCCTTTTACAGGAAAAATTTAGCTAGTTAGGCCAAATGAAAATAGCTTCCTTTTGATAATTTCTGAACACGCTGACACAACCCTTAAAGTTCTTTTATGTACAATTTCCAAAGGCGTTCCTTTCTAATAGCCTTAAAAAACCCCAACAAATCTTAATGAAAAATTGGACCAGTGAATAAGTCATAGTTTTTCTTATATTCTCTTCTCAGGAATTCTGTAGAAGAAACTTTCCTTCATTCTTTAGCAATAGGAAAGATCAGCACTGGACAGCTGTGCTTTTCACTGAAGATTATGGCTTCTGTCTTGTTATTCATTTTCAATGGCTAACAGGCATACTGATTAACTAATAGAAGTCTGGCTGAAAATGTACAGATTTATTCCAAGTCCTGCTTGCTTACAGCTCACAGGCTCATTTTCTTCTCACTGCACCAGCCTGCTCTGTTTTTTTTTTTTTCAGTATAGATCTGTGAGACAGGTATTAGCAGGAAGATTTGCACACCTTTTCAACTAATTGCTTTTAATCGAAACACTGTAGTCAGATATATTTCACTGGTAGTGATGAACTATAGAAAAACGGGACATATAAACCATCTTTAAACTCGACTGACCAAACTCAGAACTGGCTGGGGCACTCTTTTGTCCCTCAGCTTCCCTTCTTCCTACTGTAGAGGAAAACTTTTGAATCACATTTGAAAGTGTTTCATTCCAAAGTTTGAACTAACAGACAATCATGGTGCAAGTGTTAGTTTTATAGTTAAAATTAGATGAATGCTAATGGCAAAATTACAATGTTTTCAGAGTTCTTTTTCTGTTAGTATCTCCTTCCCTAACAAAAAATGTCTTTTTGTGTTATAGCAAGGTGTGTAAAGGCAAGGTGGTAAAAATCACGTTGTACTAGTCTTGCCGTTGTAGAAACCCATAAATAGGGAATAGGCTTTCTCTACAAGGCAGAAAACGCCTGGCACAGCTATTTCAGAAAACACTGTGCTACTACAGTAATACTGGTATAACTTAGCTCTTCCAGAATATCTTCTCTATGCAGACCATCTAATTTGCAATAATCCTCCCATTTACAAACAGAAGTAATTATTCCAGAACAAAATTACCTTTCTGTTCTAGAACACTGTTTCTGCAATGATAACTACCCTGGTAAAATGGGTGTTGCCACCTACTTTTTAACTTCATATTAATTCGAAGTAATCTCACTGAGATCTCTAGCTATACTTTCATACTCTGCTCTCAGGGATATCCTCTCATCCTCATTTTCTTGACTGCTGATTTCAAACAGTTTTTACTTTTCTTCCTCTCCTTTCAAAATTCCTCATATTCCTGGTTTCCTTAACTCTCTGACTTCCTTGTTCATCCATCACCTGTTCTGGAATATTTGCTGCTTTCCCAGGACTTGTTAAATTTGCTTAGAAATCTTTCCTTTTGTCCTCACTTCTTTTACTCCTTGTTTCATCAATAAATTCTATGAAAGTGAGGTCAATGACTTTCTTTGGTTTAAATTTGCTTCTCTTTCAGATCTCTAATCCAGAGTCATGATCAAGCAAACTCTTCTTGCTTTCCCAGCAAACCACATCAATTTTCAGTTCTCTTTCTTTCATTCAAAAATTCAAGTATTGCTTTTTCTTTTTAACAGCTTTGACTTTTTTCTAGGATATCAGAACTCCATCCTGACTCCTTCCACCACACCCTTCTGTCCTAAACCCTGACAATTCCGTAATAAATGCTTGTGAAACAATAATTTTTTCCCATCCATCCTAACATACACTGAACTTCCCTTATTACTAGCTTTGGCTACTAGAACATCCTTGCTCACATTATCTTACACCCATAATTCTTCTGTAAGTAGTAATTGAATTGTTGTTCACATGGTTAATTGTAATTAAAATATCAGGTAATTGTCATAATTAGTATTTTTATCAGAGTAGCTCTCAGAAGACCAAGGATCAAATACAGATACTTCACTCTTTTCCTCTATATCACATTCCAGCCTTTTCCTCCCTCTCTCTGAGGCTTACGCTCAACCATCCACTTCTCATTTCTATTTATTTTCCCCCATTCCTCAAAATGCTTCTTTTTCCTCTTCCTTTCTCACTGGAAGTCTCTAAATATTCCTCTCTACAAGACCAAGGTTTGACAATACTTTGGCAACAGGAAAATTAGAAAAAGTAATCAGAAGGGATGAAAAATTACATTTCAAAACCTTAAAAAAACCCTGATTACCAGCAATGCTTACAGCAAAATTAACAACCCCATTCTCAGTTCGTCCCATAATTAACAGATCGACCCTATCTATGCTATATTTCAAATATGTAACTTAACTAAACATTGAATTCTAACTTATTTGGCAGTGTTTTGTCACAAAATCACTTTTAAGAAGACTACTCAAGCTTACAGTCAGCTTAGCTACAAGTGTTTGCCATCTGGCATTGTAGATTCACAAAGCCAGCTAAGCAACATCCAAAGCTTTAGTTCTTTTTTCTCCTGTCCTACACCCTAGTGGCAGCATAAATGGACTTACTGCTGTATCACTTATACTGAGAACTTCATTAGTAGAAGCCTTGTGAGGCTTATAACTGAATGAAGAAAGGATAGAAGTCCAGTCAACACACATTCAAATTTACATTTGGATAAAAGCTATTTACAGATTTTACATCGTATGCCAGGTCTATTGAGAGCACTGCTCTAGAGAGAGGCAGGTCTAGAAGAAGTTGTTATAAGACATTTGATTACATCAGTATTGCTGGAGATCTGTATTACTTAAACTTTGAACTATATCTGTTATCCTCTGAAGCTGGCCGGGAACAGCCTAGTCTCCCTGCCCGCTGTACAGATCTGGTGTTCAGCGAAAGTAAGAAAGCTGAAAAATGTTGGGATTTCATATTTCAATTATGTGCTTGTTATCAAACCAGTTTTTGAGGTTGCCACCTGTCTTCATTCTGATCTTTTCTCTAACCACAGAATGTTTCCTGCTTGCCTAGGGGAAAAAAAAGGTTAAAATGTTCTCCCACGAAAGCACTCACTTTTCAGTACTTTCTGGACTACAAAGTGCTCTCATCTGAGTCTGAAATTTTAATGTCATTCAGACTTCTGTAAAAGTAAACCATCTGTGAATTACAGTCATAGTTATTTTAATTAGAAAAGCATTAGGGTTTTAAATGTTATTTTTCAAAATGACAGATTTTTTAAAGATTAAGTAAAATTGTCATTGATGACTACCAAAGCTTCAATTACCGCTACAGGCCTCCTTTTTTTTTCCTGAGAGGAGGGAGAAAGGATGGGAGGGAGCTGTTCTTTCTTTCTTTCTTCTTCTTCTCTCTCTCTCTCTCTCCCTCTTTTTTTTTTTTTTTTTTTTTTTTGTACAGAAAAAGTGTAGGATGTAGAAGTACAGACATTCAAAACTACGGAATGGATGCTGAGATGGTGTGTAGGTGGCATGGAGGCAGTATTAGCTCATACTTAATAGGTGTCAAGGGAATCTGTAAAGCTGTTCTTTAGTTTAAAAAAGGCAATTTGTGGGAGTGCTGTGTGTTTCTGGCAGTACTTTCAAAATAGCTACCTACAAAAGACAGAGAACTATAATCTAATGATATTTTACACAATGACACACATTTTCACAGTGCATTAATGAAATGTAGAAAAAAGCCCTGAAACTATTGTAAAATGTGTCTTTTTGCCGTGTACATGTCTGCAAAAACATTATAAAGACAAACAAATTTACAGGGCACTGATCTTTTACAAGGGCCGAAACGTTATTCTTAAAAGCTTACTCTCTCTGCTTCATTGGTTAGCTTTTCTTTACACAGTTTAAGATTCCTCTTTTGTCTCAGGTAAACTACTGACCTTGCACAGTGGAAAATGCTGAATAAACCCACAGATTAGCATAGCTTATGTGCGGCCTTAATGTGAGGTACGTGAGTGGTCTAGTATTCACGCAAGTAACACTAAGCACTTACGCAAGTACTTGTCAGGATCTGGACTTTAAAGAGAAAAACTGTCATTCAGCTCTCAGAAAGGGTGGAACAAAGCTACATTTCCAAAAACTGTACAAATCTCACAGTTCTCTGCACTTGTGAGAAGATGAAAACGACTGCATCACAGGAAAGGAAATGTACAGAAAATATAAAATGCATCTAAGAGACCCTTAGTGGAGAAAACATTATTCTGGTTTAATCTCAAGGGATCTCTATACTATGGACCTGTAATTCCGTTATTTGAAAAATTCTACAAATAGGTATAGGTACTGAAAGAAACAATA